ATGTCAGCACACTAACATATACCGTCACGCACGCAGTTCGCTTGGCTAAATTCCCCCCCCCCCTCCCCCCGGACTCTTGGTTCTTGCATGTACACTTAAACCTAGTTGGTCCTTTTTTCTAAGCAGTGCTTTAGGGACAAGCGATAATTCGGCAAAGACAACTCAGTGAAAAAACAGCATGTTTAACAAACCAAACTCCTCGATATAAATTGCAGGTTCAATTCCATAAATAACGACCCTTCTGAGTCAATGAGGTTCCTCCATTGCTTCAGTTAAACAAAATATGTATCACTCACACGAATAGCGGCCAATCTGAGTCCAGTAATCGAATCCGTCACGTCCGCCTCCCCTTGGTTGTCCAGCTCGCTCTGTTGGTCCATCGGCTAAATCTGAGCTGATACTACCACCATACCCTCTCTTTATCGTCTTCTTGCGCCTCCATAGTGCTATCCACCTCGTACGGCTTGCCGCACCGCGTCGACTTCGCTGTACCTACGACCGTGGTCTCCCTGCCGCAAGCCATCAGCCACTCTACATCGTTGTCTCCGTTGTCGTCTCAAATGCACTCGATTGCTTCTGAACGTTTTCCCTCCAAGGTTTATTTCGTCTGACCTGGCACCGACCCTCGCAGTTACCACACCTTCCTTCCACCGCGCTTGACTATCGGGTAATGGTTGGACCCACACTTCCTCCCCCACTGTTAGCTCAGGTAGTACCCGTGCAACGCGATCATGGGGCCGTTTCTGAGTCATCATTCGCCCTCTCAGATTGTTCTGTAATCGATTGTGCTGTTGCGAAAGTGGGCGCAACATTGTTGCAGGTGCCGGTATCAGAGTTCTTGTCCTTCAGCTGTATTGGGGCTGCATTCGGTTCAAATCGATATTCTTTGAAGGAGTGTTAAGATTCTCCAGTAGCATGAGATAGGGTTCTCGCCAATTGCTCTAGGCTTTGATAACAGTTGCTTGGCCTGCTTCACTGTCGACTTCGCCTTTTCATTCGATTTACTGTGATATGGGCTGGTTTGCTGATGCACGAATTCTCACTTGGTTGGGAACGCCTGGAACACACTGTTGGTAAACTGTGTGTGGCCCATTGCCGGAGACCAGCTCCTCCGGCATACCGTGTCACGCGAACTGATATCTGAGCTTTTCATTACTGTCTCTGTGCTCCTAGTGGTGAGTAGATCAGTTTCAAAAGAATCGCTATGTTAATCCACCGTGAGCAAGTAATCTTTCCCGATATCACTGAATAACTGTACAGCCACCTTTTGCCACGGTCGTTCAAGGACATCATGCAGCATCACTGGTTTTCCCGTCTTCCGGATTTCCTCTGAACGCACGCCTTACAATTCGATACATAATCTTTTATTTGACCCGCCATTCCCGGCCAAAAAGTCAATTCTCTTGCCTGGTTAATGGGATAGTTGGCACGAAGTTGAGCGCGATGAACGTCTTTCAGCATTTCTCTTCGGAGCGGTGACGGAATCAGAATACTGCTTCCCTTGAACAGCAAATTATCTTAGACAGCGAGTTTATTACGAAAATTGAACTAGGCTGGAAGTTCCTTCGGCAAGTGCTTCTTTGTCTCTGGCCGCCCATTTAGAATAATGTCTTGCAAAGCCGAGATCCTTTCATCTTCCTCTGTATGGCGAATTGTTTCCTTTAGGCGATGTTCTGTTACTGTCAGGTGCTGTACTAAGTTTATTGCTTCAACATCTTCGGATTATGCTCGGGTACCGACAGATGAGCTCTTGATAGCGTATCCGCGATGAACATCGGTGGACCAGAGGTATAAAATATATCCATGTCGTACTTTTGAAGCCGGTTATGCATGCGTTGAAGGCGACGAGGAACACCATGCAGCGCTTTCCTTGCTATTGACACAAGCGGTTTGTGGTCGGTATACGATCTTGTCTTTCTTCTCAAAGTATACTCGTTGAAACGCTCCATGGCACAGGCTACCGCAAGCAGCACCTTTCAATCTGCCCATAGCGTTAATCGGTCACGGTGAGTGCTCGACTGCGGAAATCCAAAGGTTTTCCATTCTGTAAGAGAAACCAGCAGTTATTCCTTCTTGGCTACTGTCACATTGTATCACCAAAGGCTGCGCTGGATCGTATGCCTGAGTACAGGCTCGTTGCTGATGACGTGCTTAATAGTTTCAAATACGGTTTCCTATTTATTCCCCAACCTTGCTTTACTCCTTTGTGAGTTAACTTCCTGACTAGCGTCATGATATCAGCGAGTCTTGGTATAAAACGGCTCAAGTAATTCATCATACCGGTTAAGCGATGGATTCTTTTCACGTCACTAGGAGGCGGCATTTCTCGAATTACGTTAATTTTTCCCCGATCGACCTTGACCCCTTGTGTTGTTGGCAAATGCCCACGGAACAGCATCTCGTCTTTCTGAAGTGCAATTTTTTCTCGTTTAAGCTTGATGTTCATTTGCACACAACTCTGTAAGAAACGGTGGAGATTAGCGCTATGCTCTTCTTCTGTCAAGCCATAGAACAAAACATCGTCTGCCACGCAAGTTACGCCATCTAAATCGTCTACCACTTCCACCAATCGTTGCTGAAAAATTTCACTCAACGCCTTCAAGCCAAACGGTAAACTCAGCCAACGATAACGCGCGAGCGTTGTTGTAACGGTAGTAAGGAAACTAGATTTATCATGCAGTACCACGTGCCAGAATTCTGAAGAGAGGCCTACCTTCGTGAAAAACGTAGCTTTGGTCAGACGCGGCAAAATGTCTTCTAGGGTAGGTAGCACGCAATGCTCTCTACGCTAGGCCTCACTCAAAGGTTTTGGGTCAATACACACACGCAGTTCCTCCGTCTTCTTTGTAATGATCACGACCTGACTAACTCAGTCGGTTGGCTCAATAACTTGTTCAATTCAGCGGAGAACCTGTCAGGCAGTGCAAATGGAACTCTCCTGGCCTGTAGCGCTGTAGGCAGTACCAAAGGATCCAAGGACAAGTGAGCGTATCCCTCAAACTTTCCCAAACCTGGACTAAACACACTAATATTGCTTTTTCCCTGGCAAACATGCACCAAACCATCATGATTAAAAACAAGAAAAGCGAGAGACTGGATAGAATCAATGACGAGAATCGGCGTGAGCCCCTCCTCCACTATCACAAACTTCATTCGATGTGAGGCTCTATTCCTTGGGTTAAGGAATTCGATTGTAGCTGAGCCCTTCGGATGAAATCTGAAACCGTTCCACATACGCAGGCAATCTGGATCGGATCGAATGCACACTCCGGAACAGTGCTTCCTTGGTAGAACCTTGACAGTAGCACTGTGCCTAACGAATCCTACGGCTTTGTCTTCGATCAAATGAATTGCGTATACAGCTTTTTGCGGTACGCTCCGAGACAAATTGCTAATTGAATGCTCTGTATTTGCTGTGGACTTGTCACGAACGACCACACTCACATTGGTTGGCTAGCAGCAACGAGCAAAGTGGTTCCTTCTTCCACATCTGGAGCATTTCTTTACCCCAGCCTGACACTGTTCGCGTCTTTTTCTTTAAATGCTTTCTCCTTAATTGGACGTAGGCGCTTCAGTTGGGGGAGGAAAACCTAGCACCGTGGCCGTAAATAGTTTCCATAGGACAATAGATTTCAAAACGGAAGTCTAAATAGCTTGTCAAATGATCACAATACCTGGATACATCAGGGTCAAAGAAAAAACTAAATTCCATGGATGCTATCAGTTCGCGAAGTATGTCGAGATTTTATGGAGAGCACTGTCACCACCTGACACTTGGATCATTGCGGTAAGTGACTTGTTGGTGGTGGTTCTTGCTATAGATGACAGGTGAAATGTTGTTGTGTGATTAGAATTCCCGATTGGAACCCGAGTTCGTACGGAGAACCACTTCACATTATTAACAAACACCTGGATCAAGGTTGCGTTTGACCTGGTGAGCAGATTGACGATGTTTCGCAACCCGAGAGCGTTGCGAAAAGTAGTGTCACATCTATTTAAACCTCCGGCGAATATGCACAGAGAACGACCGATGTGTTCTGTGACACCTGTAGGAAATTCATCAAAGAAGTTCTCAGTTTTAGCTTTGTGACAGGTGAGAGATATCTAGATGTTAGCCAACACTATTGACCGGCAGCCATGCAAACATCTCGGCTTACATTGTGTGACTAAACAATTGATAAACTATGAGGAGAAGCAAAAAGAACACGTTTGATTGCAATACCCCAAGACGGATTGGCGTAAATAAGTGCTCCATCACCTCGGTTTCCGTGGGTGCATGGGTCATCAACCCGATGGCGAAAAAGTTCTCCAACGGATACGACTGCATCGTTCACTTCTTCATGGAACCAGGTTTCTTGCAACGTAATGACTCCAAGCTGTGAAAGCTCTTGAGAAAATAATGTTTGATGGTTCATTTTATTTCCCCATGAGCGAGCGGATGTCGGTGTGCAGCAATACTGCGACAATGAGATCTATCAAATTTTCCGTCGAAGAACAACTCTCCAACCAGAACGATGTTTTCTAACAGGGTGGTTACACTTCTTATGAATTCGTTCCACTTTGCTTCTGTTAACACAACCGTTCGAAAATGCACGAGTTACGAGCGTAGAAAATGTAGCGGATTTAAAATATCGCGTGAGTAGAGTTCCATCGCGGGACGAGTGATGAATTACAACAATTACCGACGGAGCAAAATGTAAGATGTGAGAGCGTGTGTGTGGTTAAACTCCAAAGAGAGAAATCGTTGAGCACGACCAAATTTGAAGGCTTCGCCAAATCATTGGAAGCTACGCGCGAAGTTACAGGCAGCTATTTCGGCTGCGGAAAACTGCGATCCCCACCAACTGAAGCCTCGCCGACGTCATCATTCATCTTACGAAAAGCAATCCATACCGTTGCTTCCCTTAACGTTAGTCCGGCTACAGGAAAGGCAGACACGTAAAGGGCAGTCAGCATTATCGCGCCCCATCAGAATCACTCGCACGGTAGGGCCAAAAAATATGAGCTTGTTGTCGGCCGCAGTTCCCACCACACGACACAATCACAGCTGTTACGCAACACTCAGCCCCGCAAGCGAAGTTGACCAACCCCGCCCCAGCACCGCGCAGACCTCAGCTGGCACCATCCACCCGCCCCGCAGCGCAGTTTCCACGTCTGCCCACACCCCCAGCTCCCACCCACCCCCCCGCACCCACGCCAGTTACCGCCACTACACACCACCCCCACTCCCGCCCCAGACACACGCTCCGCACTGCACAGCCCGCAACACCCCGCACGCAGCAGGCCCCCCCGACAGTACTCACGCACGCACTCAATCCGCCCGCAGCCACAGCAAGTTAGCCACCGCGCCCAACGCAGATTCCCCGCTGCGCACAGCCACCCGCCCCACCCGAAAGCACGAATGTCCCCGCACGTTCAGCCACCGCAGTCACCGCACGCCAAACCACAGGTTATCTGCTCCCCAAACCAACGCCCACGCACCCCGCCAGCCCGACCCAAGACCAGTCCCCCCCCACCGCACCCACAAATAACCGAAGCCCACCCCCACAACCCGGTCCCCGCCGCAGTCCCACCAGCCACAACACACCCCACGCACTGTTCGCCGCCCCCGCCCCGCAGACCCGCAGGACCCCCCAGCGGCCCCCACCGCAGCCTCTCCCCCCTCATCCCCGCAGTTCCTCAATCCCCGCGAAGCTGTACACACACCACCCGCCCCCGCCGCCCCTACCCCCACGGAAGCCCCCACCACGCCCGCCCATCCGCAGGCGCAGGTCTCCCCCACCCTCCCCCCCGCACACACCCACGCCCCGCAGCCCCGCCCCCCACCCGGCCGCCCCGCCGCGACCCCCACCCCCCCCCAAACCCGCCGCCGCCCCACCCACCCCCCCCACCCCCGTACAACCTGCTAACGCCCGCCCGGCCCCCCCCCGCCGCCGCGACCCGCACCGCCGCCCCGAACCCGCCCGACACGCCGCTGGTTACCTCCCCCCGCAGCTACCCTCAGACCCTCCACCGCCCGCAGTCCGCCCCGACACGCGACACCGCCAGCGCCCCGCCCCCGCTGTTCCCGCGCAGGCCCCTCCAGCCCACCACACCCACACCACACCCCCGACCGCTCTCGCCCCGGAAGGCCAGCAGCCGCCAGTGCAGTTCCCCCCTTCCAGCCCGCCCCCGCCCCCGAAGCAAGTTGTCCACGCGCGCCCATCCGCCGCTCCCCCTCGCCCCGCCCCGCGCCCACCCGCTGCAACCCCTCCCCCACCCCCGCCCCCCCCACGCCGCGCCGCAGGACCGCCCGCTCAAGCGCTGACCCCCACAACCCCCGCCCCCGCAGCCAACACGCCCCCCCCCAACCTCGCCACCGACCACCACCCCCCCGCTCACCGCAGTTCCCGCCTGCCCCCCACCTCACGACCGCACCCGCACGCGCAGCCCCAGCAAGCAACGCCCAACCGAACGCCGCAACCCTCCAACCCACACACGACCCCGCAGTTCCCACCTCACCCGCAGTCGCTCCCAAGACCACCCTAGCAGACCCGCAGACAAGTTCGCCGCCCCCCGCGCAGCTGCCCCACCGCTGGCCCCCAACCACGCTAGCATCCCCAACCGAATCCCCTCACGCCGCGCTGCGACCAACCCCCGCGCCACCCCCCGCAGTTAGTTCAGTTTAGCACAAGCCTACCCCCACCCCCCCCAACAACAACCCCCACTCGCCGCAGTTATCACCGCTACAGCAGCCGCTGACGCAGTTCCCCCCACCGCGCAGTTCACCCCCGCCCCAGCAGTTCCCCCCCCCCCCCCCACCCCGCCACCCCCCCAGGCCCTCCCGCCCACACGCAGTTAGCAAGCTGTTACCACCACCCCAGACCCCCCTCCACACCCCCCGCGCACAGTCCCATCAGTCTCCGAACCCCCCCCCCCGACCCGTCGCCCCACCCCGAGCTGCCCCGGCTCGCCTTCCAGCCCGCCCGACCCAGCCAGACCAGCAGAGCCCGAACGCAGTTCCCCCCCCGCAGTCCACCCCCCCCCCCCGCCACCCAGAACCCCCCCGCCCAACCCCGTCCGCAGTTCAACCCCGCAGACCCGCCGCGCACCCGCCCCCCCGCCCAGCCCACGCCACTCCCGCCGCCCCACCAACCCCCCCCCACGACCGCACGCCCCGCAGCCCGCCCCCCACCCCGCCCCCCGCAAGAGCATGCAGCCCCGCTAGCCCCGCGCCACGCAGTACCCCAGCCCCCCCGACTGACACCGCAGACCCCACCCCCACAGCCTCCCCCCCCCGCCGCAGTCCGCAGCCACGCAGGCCCCCCCCCCGCAACCCCCGCTCCCCCCGCTGTTAGATTGCCACTGCCCCCCCCCCACCCCACACCCCCCCCCACCCCGCAGGTGTACTCCACACCGACGCACCCACCCCCGCCCGCAGTCCGCAGACCCACACCCCTCACCGCCACCAGCCGCGCGCACACGCATGGCCAGACGGCAGCCGCAGCAAGCCCGCCGCCAAGAAGTTTTACCGATCCCCGCTAGCCCCGCGAAGCACCACCCCACCACCACGACCGCCACGCAGCACCCCCCCCAACGCGCGGACAGCAGTTCCCGACCCCACAGCACCACCGCAGCCGGCGTGCACCGCAAGGCGCTCCAAACCTCACCAGCCACCCCGCTGAAATCGACCACAGCTGTTATCCGCCGCAGCCGCAGTTCCGCCGATCACCACCCCCACCACGAACCGATCACGCCCGCCAGCATTCCCCCCCCGCAGTTCCTCACCGCCCCCCGCACCCAAGCAGTCCGGCTCCAAACGCGCCCCCCCCCCACCCACCCCCCCCCCCACGCAGTCGCAGTGCCCCCCCGCAGTTCCAACCACCGCAACCCCGACGCCCCCGTCGGCTGGCCGGCAGCGGCAGGACCCCCCACACGGTACCCCCGATAGCACCGCTCCCGCAGGACAGCTGCCGACGCGCCCCAGCAGCGCAGGCGCTACCGCCGCCTCGGCCGCACCCTCCCCACCACCCACCAACACACAGCCCCACCCGCAGCCCGTCCAAGCAGGCGACCAGCATGACCCGCCGCACCCGCAGTTCCGCCCCCGCTGCTCCCGCCCACACACCCCCCCCCGCTGCCCAACCAGACCTCTCGCAGCCACAACCCGCACGCCCTGCGCAGCCACGCGCCCCGCCCAAGCCCACGACCCCCACAGCCCCCCCCCCCCGGCGCGCCCACCCCCAGTAGCCGACGCACCCCCCCGCAAGAACACCCATCGCCGCCCGCGCCCCACCGCTAGTCGCCCCCCCCCGCACATCAACCCCGCCCGTCGCTCCACGCTCGCCCCCGCGCTGTTACGTGACGCTAGCAATACGCTGTCACACCAGCAGTTCCACTGCCGCGAGCAGGTCAGCCCGCAGTGCTCGACGAACAGACGCAGTTCCCCCCAGCACCGCTGATTTTCCCCCACAACCCCCCGAGCCCGCCCCGACCCCGACACCCACTAACACACCACACCACCCCCAGCCCGTCAGTCAAGCCCCACACCACAGCCGCACGACAGCCCCCACCCTCACCCGGCAGTCACGACCCCCCCCACCCCCGCCCGCAGTCCCACCGCAGTTCCTCCAGCAGTCCCTGTGACCCGCTAGCTACCGCCCACCCCCCCCGACAGAACCAACAGTCCCAGCAGCATCCAACCCACTAGCTCCCCCGACCCCTCACCGCCCCCTCGCAGTTGAACCGCCCCGACGCAAGCCCCCCCCCCCCCCGCAGCACCCGCAGGCACGCAGACCCGACCCACGCATGGCCGAGCAGGTTCGCACAGTCTCCCCCCCCCCCCCCAGCCCCACCCCCGCAGACGCCTCACCTTCCCCGCAGAGCACGCAAGCCAATATACACTCCCGCAGTACCCGCTGACCCCACCGATCCACACCGCACCAAACGCACCCGCTCACACGCAGGTACCACCCCCCCCGCCAGCCACATGCTGCAGCCCCGACAGGCCCCGCAGCCCACCAGCCCCGCGCGCTGGCGAAGTCAGCAGCACCCCACGCAGTTCCCTCCGCAGTTGCCACCGCCACACCCCCCCTCCGCCCACAGCAGCCGCCCAGCAGCCTGCACCGCCCCGCCGCAGTCGCGCAGCCGCCACCCCACAGCAGTTCCCCGCCCGCTGAACACCCCCAGCAGTCCGCTGTCGCAAGTTACCACCCGACTCCCCCGCAAAACCGCACCGCTCAGCCACCCCGCACCGTCCGGCCCCCGCTGTTCCCACACCACGAAGCACCCCAGTATACCCACCCCACGCACCACCCCCAGCAGCGCGCAGTTCCGCACACCGCAGTTCCCACGCCTCCCCCCCACCACCCCCGCAGCCTCCCGCCGCCCCCGCCCCCGCAAGCCCCCCGCCCCCGAACCCGGCCCCGCTGCGCAGTAACCTCCCCCACGGCACTGCGCAGTCCGGCAAAACGCAGTCGCAGCCCCATCCGCCGCCCTACCCGCAAGTTCGAATGGCCGACCCCCCGCCTGTTACCAGCCCGCGCCCCCCTACGCAAGCCGCCGCCCCCCCACCCGCACGCGAGCGCCACCCCCCCCCCCCGCCCGCAGCCGCTCCCCCCCCCAGCGCAGACCCCGCAGCCCCCGCAGTTCCCCCAACCCCCCGCAACGCCCCGCCCACCCGCCCCTCCCCTAGCCCACCCCACCCCCCCCCGCCCCCGCAGCCCCCTCACACTCGCCCACCCGCACTAACCCGCAGCCAAACTCCGCTGTTCCCCCCCCGCCTCCGCACCGCTCTAACCCCCAGCCGCCGCAACGGGATACCGAGCCGCCGCCCCCCGCCAGCACCCCGCGCAACCCCTCAGCAGCCCACCGACCCCCGAACGCCCCCCCCCCCCGCCACCCACCGCTGTTCCACCGCGCAACAGCACATCGCAGCGACAACCCCGGACGCACTACAGCACAGCACCCCGAGGCCCGACCCACACTGCAGTAAACGCCGCACGTGTCACCGCCCGAAGTCCCCCCCCGCACGCAGTTCCGCACCGCACCCCGGACACCCCCCCCAGCCCCCCCAGCTCGCAGCAGTTCACGACGACAGAACGCCAACCCCCCCAACCCCCACCGCCGCCGCATCCGCACCCAACCGCAGTACCCCACACCCACCCCCCAGCTGTTCCCCAGGCCCAAGACATCCCCCACAGCAACGCAGTCCACAGCAGTTGCCCGGCCGCAGACCGCACGCTCGCCACCGCAGTCCCCAAACACCGCCCGCAGCACAAGCCGCAGCCTCACCTCCCAACGCCAGCCCCCGCACCGTCTGAGCCCCGACCACGCGCATTCTGCTCCCTCGCCGCTGCTGACACGCAGTTTCACGCACCTCGCAGTTCACGCCGCAAGGCACCCAGCATCCCCCACCCCACCCCCACAGCACCCCCCGCAACAGACCACACACCCCCAACACCCCACCCCGCACCGGCGCCGCAGTTAGGACCACACCCAGCAATACAGCCCGCCGCACAGTTGCCACGCCGCAGTTTAATCCCCACCAGCCCGCAGTTGCATCCCGCCGCAAACCCCCCTCACCCCACAACCATACACCACCCACGCCCCCCCGCCTGCCCGCCCCGCAGTTTGTCACGCTGTTACGCAGAGCCGCAGACGCAGCCTCTCTCGCCAGCAAGGACCGCCAGTCCCCGCAGTTTGTTACGACGCGTTTGCGCAGTTAGAGTTCCCCCAGCAGCCCCCGACGGGCTCCCCCACCCCCCAGCCCACGCCAGCCCCCGCCCGACCCCCTCACCCCCCGCCGCCCCCCCACAGCCCGCAGCACCGCCACCCACCCGCACACACACACCCCACCACACCCCCACCCACCCCCCCAATCCGACTGTTCCGCTTCACAGACAGCACACCCCCACGAGACATCGAGCGCCACGCAAGTTTCAGCCGGCGCAACCGCAGTTAAGCCCCACGGCACACCGAGCCCACGCCCCACGCAACGCAGCCACCCCGAAGTCCCCCCTCGCCTGCGGCCCGCCACCCCTCGCCCGCAGTTACCCACGGCGCTGCCACACAGCCTGCGCACGCGACCCAGCTGTCGGCAGCCCAACCCGCAGTTCCCACGGCAGGCCCACCCCCTTAACCCCCGCCCGCCGCCCCACGCAGCCACGACCACCAGCAGGCGATGTTAAAGCCCCCGCCGCTAGTCCAACGCACGCCCCCCTCCGCATCGCACACCCCACGACCACCCACCGACCCCGCCCCGCAGCCGCGCACGCAGTCCGGCAGACGCTGCGCCCCGCAGTTCTCCGCTGTTCCCCCCCGACAGCGCAGCCTTCCCCCCCACCGCCACCGGCAGGCCGCAGTCCCCCCACCCGGAACAACCCCGAGCAGCGCACCCCCAGCACGCACACCACCCCCCCGCACCACTGGCGCCCGCAGTCCCCCCGCGCAGCGCCGAGTACCCTCCCCGCCCCGCCCGCAGCAGCACCCGCCACGAACGCCCCCCCCGCAGAGCGCGCCCACACCCACGCGCGCCACCACCGCAGTTACACCCCCGAAGGGTCATGCTCAGCCGACAGTCGCCCTCACAGCAGTTCGCGCCGACAGCGCAGTTACCCGCCAGTTTAGCCACCCAGCCCCCACCCACTCAACCCTCGCCCACAGCGCCGCTGTTAGTCCACACAAAACACGGACCGCCTGCATCCCCACCCCTCCGCCTCCCCCCCCCCCACCCAGCTGCCCACGCCCGCAAACGCCTACACCTAACGACCCACCCCCACAACCAAACCACAACACAACCGCAATGGGCCCGAAACGATCCGACCGGGCGCAACCGCCAGGTTCAACCAACGACACAAGCAGTATCCTAGCTGCCTAACGCACCACGCGCACTGCCGCTGGGGCAGGCTACGGCACAGACACGACTCACCCCCGAAAACCGCATGCATGACAGCCTCTAAAGGCCCCAACCACACGCACAAGCTGTTTCGACGGCCGAAACATCAAAGCAACCAACACCGCAAAGCTCGTTAGCCATCACCCCCCCGCCCCACCCCACCCCAATCACACGCTCGCACACAGGGTAACGCGCCCCCCCCCCCCCCCCCCCGCAAGTTCCCGAAACTGCCGCACCGCACCACCCCCCACCCCCCCCGCAGTCGCCGCCCCCCCCCGCCCCACAGCTAACGTCGCCCCCCAACCGCTCGAGACTCACCCCACAACCACCGCAGTTCCGCAGAGCATCCGCCCGCCCCCCCGCAGGCCACAGCAGCAGCCCCCCGAACCCCACCACAGCAAGTTGACCCGCGCCACCACCACCCAGCACGTTCCGCCTACCCCACCACCCGCAGTTAGTGCACCACCAGACGCTAGTCCCGCCCGCTCCGCTCGCACCCACAATCGCCCCCACCTAACCTGGCCCCCTCAACCCCCCAGCCCCCTGCAGAGCGCATCTCCACACGCCAGCCCCCACAACCTCACGCCGCACGCGCAGTTTGTTAGTCCGCACTGTCCGCTGTCCCGCAGGCTCTCGCAACCCCCCAAGCCGCCCAACCCCCACCCCCCCCCCCCGCGCCGAGCAGTTCACACCGCCCCCCAAGCCGCGCCGCCGCCCCACCAACAAGCCTCCTCCCGCCCCCCCACCAACCCAACTCGCTGCCCCACTGGCAAAGCCCCTCGCCCCGCGCCGCAGGCCCCCAGCACGCAGTTCCGCCCGCCCAACCACCGACAGCCGCCCCCACACCCGCCCGAACAGCCCACCCCCCCCACCACCCCCCACCCCGCACGCCCCACGCTCCCCCGCAATCCCTCCCCACACAGCATCACGCAGGCGCAGCCGCAGTCTGCCCAACCCACCCGCAGACCCGCTCGCACTGCACGACCACCGCAACCCCCACCACCTACCTGTCGCCCGAGCAATCGCGCTCGCCCCACACCCCCCACCGCAAGTCCCGCGCAACCCCCCCCCCCCCACGCGCCCCCACCCCCAACCCACGCCAAGTTACGCCGAAGACCCCCCCGGCTCCGCCACCCGCACCAGCCCAACGCCCGCGTCATCGCAGAACCCCGCAGGCCCCCCCCCGCATGCCGCACTGTCCGCCTCCCCCCCGCAGGCCGCAGCCAACCACCCCCAGCAGCGCCCCAAAGCGCCCCCACCCGCACCCCCGAAGCCAGCGCGCCCCCCACACCGCAGTCTCACACGCCCCCGCTGCTCCCACGCACAGCCCGCCCAGACACGCACGCGACACGCAGTCCAGCGCCAGCCCCCCCACCACCCCCCCGCTGAACGCAGGTCCCCCCGAGCATGTGCGCAACCGAAGTTCCCCGGCACAGCACAACCCTCCCCCGCAGGTTGCCCGTACGCGCGACTGTTCAATCGCCACGCCCCCCCCCAGCCCAAGCCCCGCAGCAGCACAGGCCAGACGCTACAGCAGCAACCACCCCCGCGCTGCAGCGCTGAACGACCACAACCACGCGGACCCCGCACTACCAACCAACCCCACACCACCCCCGAGGAGCGCAGTACCACCCCACCCGACACCCCCCGCAGCCCCCCCCCACACCCCGCATGTACCGGCACCCGCACCAAACAACCCCAGCCCGCAGTCGCGGACCGCAGTCCGCTGAAGCGCAGCGCCGCGAACAGTGCAGCAGGCACCCCGCCACGCAGTACCGCAGTTCCCACACGCCGCTGCACCGCGCTGCCCACCACCACCCGCCCCCACCCGCCACCCCGGCAGTCACGCAGTTGATAGCAGTTTCGCGCGAAGCCACCGCCTGCACCCGCACCCCCGGCCCCGACCCGACAGGCCCCACCCCGCCGCCCCCCCCCGCGACTCCCCACCGCAGTTGCCACCACCCCGCAGTGCGATAGCTGTCCGACGCAGCACGCTGCGTTGCCCGCCCCCCCCACCCCCTCGCGAGCACGCACGCAGTCCCCCTACCGCTGCGTACCCCCCCCCCCCGCGCAGCGCAGTTACCAAAGCCCCACGCCACCGCGCAAGTATTCCGCGCCTCCCCCCCGTGCCCGCCCCCCGCCCGCCCCCGCAGTCCGCACACCAACCGCTGCGCCGCCTGTGCCGCCCCGCCCGCACGCAGCGCACACGCACGCCGGCCGCCCCCTCCCCGCTGCCCGAGCTACGAGCGCCGCCCCAGCACACCCGCCCAGTCGCAAGCAGTTCCCGCAAGCCCAAGCTGTTCCTCGCAGCCCGCCTCCGCCCTCGCCGCTGCGCTGTCATCCCCCACCCCAGACCCCAGCAGGGCCCGCCGCGCAGCCCACCGCCAGTCCGCCCCCCCGCGCCCCCCCCCCCGCCCGCAGCCCGCCGCGCCCGCACAGGCGCAGGGCGCGCACCCGCATCCCCCCGCCCTCCCCGCCCCGCCCGCAGCCCACAACCCGCGCTGTCCCGACCGCAGGCCCCCGCTGTTCCGCAGTCGATTCGCCCCCCGCTGTACGCGCCCCGCATGTACACCTATCCACCCTCCCTCGCATACCGCAGCACCCCGCGTTCACACCGCACGCATCCACACCGCCGGCCCGCAGCAGCAACGCTGCCCGCAGTTCCCTCCGCTACACCAGACAAGGCCCCCGCGCCCCCCGCAGTCCGTCCCCCCTCTCACCCACCGGAGCTCCGCAGCGCCCCCCACCCCCCCCCCCGCCCGTGGCGCCAGGAGCAGTTTACCCCCCCCCCCACGCCCCCCCCGAGTTCCCCCCACCGCAGCCCCGCCGCCCGCGCACCGGAGACCCCAGCCCAGCTCCCCCCGCCACAGCACGCAGTTTGTCCCGCAGCGCGTCAGCCCGCAGATCTCGCTGACAACCCCCCTCCCTACACCGCTGTTGTACTGCAGCGCAGTTAGTCTCAACCACCTGCCCCGGCGCAGCCGCGCAACCTCAGTTCGCCCCCCGCAGCGCAAACCTCCCCCTCCTCGCAGTTCCCCCCGCTCCCACCCGGCCCTCCACCCTCGCAGTCCCACGCGACCGCAGAACCCCCCGAAGCCCACAGCGCAAGCACCCGCCGCACGTTACAGCCGTACCCGCAGCCCCAACCCACGTACCGCCGCAGTGCCCCCCCGCAGCCACTCCCACGCACCGCCGACCCGCAGTCGCAGTTCCGTCCCCGCTCCCCTGCCATCTCCCCCCCGCCCCGCCGCCCGCCCCCCCCCCCCCCCGCAGTCGCCAAACCACCGCGCCCGGCACGGCACCCCACCCCCTCCCCCCCCCGCCACGCACGGGCTGGCCACTACCGCTCAGCCGCAAGACCCAGCAGTCCCCTCGCAGCCCCACGAAGCACCCCCACCGCCCCCCGACAGCCCCCGCAGTTCCCCAGCCCCCCTGCCCACCCAGCAGTTAGTAGCAACCCACCCCGCCCCCCCCCGCCCGCCCGCGCTGGCCAACGCCCCCCCCCGCAGCCCCCACCTACACCCGCAGCCACCGCGACCGCACCCCCCCCCCCCACCGACAGTTCCTCGCCCCCCACCCCGCGCAGGCCACCCCGCAGCCCCCTCGCCGCCGCAGGGCTCCCCACGCGCGCAGTTCGCGCTCCCCACCCCCGCACGCCGCAGTTCCGCATGCCTCGCCACGCCAACGCAAGTCTGCATCCGGCACGCAGCCGCACGCCGCACGCAGTTCGCAACACCGGCTCCCCGCCCCCCCCCCCCCCCCCCGCCGCAAACCCCCAAACGCACAGACCCGCCACCCGCCAATCGCAGTGCGCGCACCCCCCACGACCACAGTCCCCGCAGTCCCCCCCCGCCCCTCGACAAGCACCCCCCCCGCTGCACCGCGCTACCCCCCACCACCGCAGACACGACCGGCACCCCCGCACGCGCCCCCCCAGCACCCCCCCGCAGTTCCTCAGCCCACCGCACCGCAGAAACCACCCCCCGCAACCTACCCCCGGCAGGTTCCGCAGCCGCACCACCGCACGACCCACCCCCCGCAGCCCGCCCACCCGCAGGTTCAGCGCCCGCACGACGCCCCCCCCCCCCCCCGTCGCCCCCTCCCGCTCGCCCCCCCCCCTCTATACGCACCCCACACGTAGCAGCCGCGGCAGCCGACTCCCAACCCCGACGGCACCCCCCGCCGCAGCCCCAAACCCACCGCACAGTCACACGCTGCCCCCTACGCGTTCAGCAGTTACACGCCAGTTACCGCAGCACCGGCCCCCCCGCCTATCCCCCCGTCCCGACACCCCCCCGCACACCCCTCCCGCCCCCACGCAGCCCAGCCCGCGCTGTGACGCAACGCCTCCCCCCCCCGCAGGCGCGCACCCGCAGAGCCCGCAGTACCACGCGCGCCCCGCTGTTCCGCAGCCCGCCCCCATGCAGTTTACAGCACCCCGCCCCCTACACACCCCCACCGCTCACCAGCCCCCCCCCCAGCAGTCCCGCCCCGCAGTTGGAGCCCACCCGCTGTTCCCAGTCTGTCCACCCCGCTGGTCCAGCTCAGCATACCCGCAAGCAGCGCCCCCGCTACCCGACCGCAGCCACCCGGCAGTGCCCGGCAACCCCCGCCCCCACCCCCCGCAACCCCGCAGCCGACAACCCGAAGGCGCAGCACGCCCCCGAGCAGTCGCCCGCAGCCTAACCACACCGCTGCCCGAAGGCGCAGTTCCCCAAGTACGACCCCCACCGCAGTTCCCCAAACGCCAGCAGTAGTCCCGCCGACACCAACCACTCGGAAGCCCCCTGCGCAACGACGCCTACCCACCGCTGACCCACGCTACCCCCCACCCGACGCGACGTTCCCGCGCCCCCCGCGGCTGTTACCACCCCCCCACACCCACGCCCCGCACCGCAGTACCCCCCACGCTGTTCCCCCAACCCGGCCCAGCCCCGCAGCCCGCAGCACGCAGCCCTCCCCCAACCGCAAAGGTTTCCCCCACCAAAGTTCCCACCCCCGCCCGAGGTTTCAACGCCAACCCCCCTCAGCACTGCTACCCACCGCCTCCCTCCGCGCCCGCCCGCAACCGCGCCCCGCAGCCCACGCCCCCCTGCCCACTCACCGCCCCCCCCCAGCGCCCCCATTCCAGCCCGCACCTACCCGCAGTTCCGCAGTAGATACGCTATGTTTACCCCTCCCCCCCACCCACGCAGCCCCCGCATCACGCAGTTCACCCCCCCCCCGGAATCCCACCGCAGTGCCCTCCCCCCCACCCCACCACCCGCCGCCCGCCCACGCCCCGCCACCCCGCCAGCCCCCCCACCCCCGCTGCCCTCCCGACGCCCACCCCACACTCAACCGCAAGCCCGCAAGTTACCACCCCGCCGCACGCAGCAGTTCACGCCGCAACCCCCGGCACTTCCCCTCCCGCTGGTTCCCACCCGACCACCCACGCAGCCACCCCCGCCCGCCCGATGCCACCCCCCCCGCAGTCAGAACCGCCCACGCACACCAACCCACGCGCCACGCATCCACCGCAGTCCCACCCCTGACACGCCGCCCCGCCCCCACCCACCCACGCACCCTCCCCCCGACCCCCCGCAGTTCCACACCACGCAGCCTCGAAGTTTCACACCCCCGCACGACACGCACCTGCCCCGCAGTTCCCCCGCCGCTGTCAGTTTCGCACCCCCGCCAGGACCCCCCGCAGTGCGACGACACCCACCCCACCCCTCCACACCCAGCCCCGCCCCGCACGCAAGTTGCTCCGCACCCGCCCAGCAGCCACCCCCCCCCCCGCAGCAGCCGCCCCCACCCACCCCACCCCGCACACGCAGTTCACCTACACGCTGTTGGCGCCCGCGCAAGACCCCCGCAAGACCCGCGCCGCAGCCCGCAGCCCCCGACCCCCCCGCACTCCACACACACACCCAGGCCGCGCACAACGATCGCACCTCGCTCCCTCGCGCCCCCGCTGCGCGCCCCCCCCAAATCACCCCCCGCCAGTCCCCAACCACGATCAATTCTACCGCCCGCAGCACCCCCCACCAAGCAACCCCCCGCAGGCCGACCCGCACCTCCCAACACCGCGCTCCAACCGGCTGCCCCCACACAACGCAACCGCACAGTTCGACGCAGTACGCAGTTCGTCCAACCAGCCCCCCCCAGCAGTTTCACGCAGTCCAGGCGCCGCCCCCCCACCCCCCGTCCCCTCGCCCTAGCCCCCGCCGCAACGCAACATCCCCCCCCACCCCGCAGTCCCCGCAGTTTACGCCCACCCCGCAGACACCCCCGCCCCACGCACCCCCACCCGCACCAGCCCAAGCAGCCGCCCGCACGACGTCCGCCCACAACCCCCCGCGCGCCGCACCCCCGCGCAGAGCCGCCGACAGTTCCCACCGCCACCCCCCACACTGCGACACCGCACCCGCAGTTACGCCCAACGGCCTCGCCCAACACGCGAAGATCCACCCCACGCGAGGCTCCCCGCCACGCCTCCGTTCGCCGCAGTCGCACAAGACCCACAAGCCCCCAGCCACGCAGTTCACCCCCCTCAGCACGACCCCGCCCCTATCCGCCAAACCCACCCCCCCCCCCCACCCGCAGTCGTCAGCCCGGCCCGCATTCCCCCCACAACCCCTACCCACCGCCCCCCACCGCCAGCGCTGTGCCGAAGCCGCTCCACTCGCACACTCCAGCAACACTCACACCCCCCACCAGACCCCCCCATCACACTCAAGACACACACGCCCACCCCACGCAAGTTGCCACCCCACCCCGGCAGTTCCCCCCCGCACGTCAGACAGTCCCGGCCACCCCCCAGCCCGCCCGGCTCCCGCTCCCCAGAACGCCGCGCCCCGCAGGACCACCCCCCGGCGCAGCCGCAGTACCCTCCCCCCAGCGCCGCCGCACCGGCCCCCCCGCAGCAAGGACGCCCAGCCCCCGCAGCCACGCAAGTTTCCGGCCGCGCCCCCCGCCCCGACAGCGGCCCTCCCTACTCCGCCACGCATCCCCACCCCCCCCCCCCCGTCCCCACCCGAGCCCGGCCTCACCGCGCCCCACCGCCGCCGCCCGCAACCCCTCCCCCCCCCCACCACCCCCCCACACGCAGTCCCACCCCCGCAGGTTTCCGACGCCGCCCTCCCCGCCCCCACCCGACCCACCGCAAGCCACCCCAGCCCCCCGCAGAACCGCCCGACGCCCCCCACCCCATCCGCAGGTAGTCCCCGCCACTCCCCCCCACGCAGTTAGCATACGCAGTCACCGCAGTCGCACGCTGTTGCCCAACGCGCAGTTCCCACCCCACCCCCCGAGCCCCACCCCGAGTTAGTCGCCCCGCACCCTACCCCACGCAGTATAACCCACCCCCAGACTCCCCCCCCCGCCACCGCGCGCACCCAACCACCCGCAGGCCGCTCCGCAGACACGACGACCCAGCATCGCAGTTAACACCACCCCCCCCATCGCGCAGTCCCCCCCCGCCCCCGCAGTCCCACCTCCGCGCGCCAACCCCGCCCCGCAGTCCGCCCCCCCATCGCCGCAGCCCACCGCGCCTCGCCCCGTCCCCCCGCCCCCCCCACACCCCCCCCACACCAGCAGACCACCCGCGGAGCCCCCCCCCACAGCCGGCCCGCCCACACCCGCAGCGCCGCACGCAGCCGGCCGCCCCGCAGCGAGGCCGCGCTTCGCACGCCCCCCCCCCTCACGCAGCGCCCAGCCCCCCCCGCCTGCACCGCCGCCGCTGTTCCGCAGTCGCGCCCGGCCGGCAACCCCCGCCCCACCCCCCCGCCGAGTTGCCCCCCCCCCCTCCACCCCCCCGGACACCCACACGCACCGCAGGCCCCCACCCCGCCCAGCTGTACCTCCCCCCCGACCCGCAGCCCCTCGACTGTCGCTGTTCCCTCGCCGAGACAGCCAACCGACAGCCCCCACGCTACCGCAGCCGCCCGACCCGCCCCCCACCCCCACCGCCCCCCGTCCGCAGTTAGACCACACCCCGCAAGTTTAGCCCACGCCCTCCCGCAGGCCCCCCCCCCCGCCGCTGTTCGCCGCCCGCCCGCCCCCCACCCCACGCGCTGTCCCCCTCCCGCATCAGACAACCCTCCCGGCGCTAGCCGCAGTGCGGCCCCCCCGCCACCCACCACCCCCCGCCGCCAGCGCACCGACCCACCGCGCACGCAGCCCCGCAGTCCACCCCCGTCGGCCCCCCCCTACCCCGCCCCAAGCAGATGCCGACAGTCCAGCGCCCTCGCGCCCCGCCCCCTCCCACCGCACGCAGGTCCCCACCGACATCAACCACCCCCGCCCCACCCACCCCGCACGCTCAGTAAACCCACGCGCCGCAGTCCCCATCCCCCCTCACGCAGGGCCCCCCGCACGGACCCCGCCACCGCAGCTGTTTCCACCCACCCCACACGGCCCGAGCCCGCAGCCCCCCCGCAGTCGCACCCGCCACCCCCGCCCCGCCCCCCCGCCGCTGTCTCCCCCCCACCGCCCCGCCGCGCCGACACCGCCCCCAAGCAGTTACATACCGCAGTTCAGCCCCCCCCCCCACACCGTCCACCCCCCGCGCACACCAGCGCCCAGCGACACACCCTACGCCACCCTCCGACACCCCGGGCAGTTGCCCCCCCCCCCCCCTCCACCCGCAGCACGCCCGCAGTTCACCCGCCCCCCCCCCGCCCCCACGCCCCCCCCCCCCGCAGCACACCCCCCGCCCCCCAGCACAACCCCCCACCTAGCCGCAGGCACCACCACCCCCCCCCCCCCATCGTACCCCCCGCAGCCCCCCTTCGCAGCCCCCCCCCCCCGCCCCCGCCCCCCCCACCCCCCCGCACCACGACAGCAGCCCCGCCGCCACCCCCCCCACGCATCTCCTCGCAGCCTCGACGCACGAGCAGCACACACGCATGTTAGCAGCCCCCGCAGCGCCCCACACAGTCACACCGCGCAGTTCCCCCCCCTAGCAGTTCCCGCACCCGCACCGCAGCCCCCTCCCACCCCCAACCCCCCCCCCCCCGCAGCCACCCGCCACCGCTGTCCGCGCCAGCAGTCGCCGCACCCGCAGATCCCCTCCCGCAGCCGCAGCCCACCGAACAGACGCAGTTCCCGCCCAGGCACGACCCCCCCCAGCAGTTCCGCAGTCCGCCCCACCCCACCCCCCCGCCAGTCCCCCCCGCCAGGGCCCCGCATCCCCCCCCCCGCCCCACCCGACAGTTCTGCCTGCAGTTCCCCCACAGCAGTTACCCCCGCAGTCGCTACCCCCACCCACTACCGCCCCCACTCCCCCCCCTCCCCCCCCCCGCCCCCCCCCGCCTGCGCAGTCCAAGCCCCACCGGCCTCCCCCGCCCCGAGCAGTACGCCCACAACCCGCCCGCCCGGCGAGAACCACCCCACAACACCAACAGGCACCCATCGCCCACGCACTGCCACCGCCAGTAGACCTCGCGGCCGCACAGCACCATCATCATCCGCAGAAAACGACTCCAAAAGCTCCCAACTAGCCCCGCCCCCCGCAGTCTACCCCAACCCCCCCCGCAGTGACTCTCCTCGCCTCCACCCCAACACCGCAGTTCGCACGCCCCGCTCCCTCCCAGACGCACAAACCCGCCACCACCTTCAGCCAGCGCAGACCCCCCCCCACGCCCCCCGCAGCAAGCAGCCCACGCCGCCCCTCGACACACACCTCTCCCGCCGCACCGCAGACCGCCCGCAGTCCCGCATCTGCACGCTCCATCACCCACGCCCCCGCAGTTGTCCCGCAGTTAGGCACCACGCAGCCCAGCACGCGCTGTTGAAGCACGCTCGACCGACCGCCCCCCCCCGCCCGAGCTGTGCCCCGCAGTCCAACAAAGCCACCCGCAGCTGCCGCAGTTACGCAGTCCGCCCCCCGCGCCGCACAGCAACCGCAGCCGCCCGCCGCCCGCAGCTGCCCGCAGTCTCCCCCAGCAGACGGCCCCCCGCGCGCGACCTACCCCGCTGTTACGCCCCCGCCCCCCTCCCACCCCCCCGCAGTCAGTTTCGCCCTACCGGCCCGCCAACTGCCCCGAGCGCGCCCCACCCGCCCGCTCGAGCCCGCAGTTAGTCCCCCCCCGCGCAGCCGCAGCCCCGCCACCCCGCCCCCTGCCGCGCAGCCCGCCCCCCCGCCGCCCCCGCCGCGCCACCCGCCCCCCGCCGCGCCCGCCCCCCGCGCTGTAACCCACGCTGTTCCCCGCCGCCGCGCCGCATCCACCGCCGCGACTCCGCCGCAGTACTCCCACCCACCCCCCCACCGCCCCCCCGCATCGCAGCTACACGCGAAAGCGCAGACCGCAGCTAGTCCCGTCGCGCACCGCTGCCCGCCAGTCACAGTTCCCCCACCGCCGCCGCCACCCCAACCCGCCCCGCCCGCTAGCACCCCACCACAGACTCCCACCCACACCCCGCCACTCCCGCGCCCCCGCCACCCCAGCTAGTGCCGCGCCCCGCAGCCGCACCTCGCAGTAGCACCGCACCCCACCCGCCCTGCACCACCGCCAGACCGCCCCACCCCACTCCATCCCCTACGCCCACACCCCCCATCGACCTGCAAGCATGATCCCGCGCCCCCAAAACCGCATAAACGCGCACCCCCACGCACCCCCCCCCCCCCCACCGACCCACCCCGCTGTGTTAACCGCCGACCAGCAACGCGCCACCCACCCCGCTGCACCCCCTCAACACGCACCCGGCCAAGCCAATTCCCCGAGGTCCCCCCCCCCACTACAGCCGCCGCCCCCGCAGCCTCGCCCCGCCCTCGCAGTCACGTCTCCGCAAGTACCCGGCTCGCCCCCGCCGACCACCCCCACCCGCCAGCAGTTTGCGTCCCCAACCCCCCCCACCTCTCAGCAGCGCCTCACACCCGCCCCCGCACGCACCCCACCCCCACCCCTCGCCAGCCGGCCCCCACCCCCCACCCAGCAGTCCCCAAACGCAGTTAGTCGCCCGCCCGACGCAGTCCCCCGGCCGCAGTCCCCCCCCGCCCACGCAGTTCCGCAGCATGGCCCAGCCCCCCCGCTCCAGCAGCATCCCTCCGCCACTCACAACACCCCCACCGGCAGGTGCTCCTCGCAACGCAGCACACGCCAGCACCCACGACGCCCCAGAGCTGTCGACTCCGCAGCGCGCCGCTCCTTCGCCCCCCCCCACCCCCGCCCCAACAGACCGCCCAGCCACCCCCCCCGCCGCTCCCCTCAGCCCCCCCGCACGCAGCCGCACCCCCCAACCCCACGCGCCCCCCGCCCACCGCTCGACACGCTCCCCCGCAGTACCGCCACTGCCCTACCTCCGAGCGCCCCGCCCCCACACCTCGCGCACCGCCCCGCCCAGAGCCCCCCCACCAAGCCGCTGATCGCACGCAGCGCCCCCGCACACCGCCACTCCCCACCGCCACAACCGCAGCACGAACGCCCCCGCGGGCCCGGTCGCAGTGCACCCCACGCGCCCGCCCGCCAACGCAAGGCGCACCCACGCCCCAACGCCCTCGAAGCGCCCATCACCTCAGCAGACCCGACCACCGCACCCCCGCCCCCCCCCAGGCATGTTCACTCCACGCGCAGACCCCCCCTCGACCCCTACCACCCCCACAACTCACCACCTAACCCCGAGACAGTTCAGCAGTTAGCCGCCACCCCCCCATCGCAGTTCAACCCCCACCCTACCAGCACCCCAGCCCCGCAGTTCGCCGCACAATACGCGACAGCGAGTTACCTCATGAAGTTCCCCCACCACCGCCTCCCTACCCGACCCCCAGCCCCGCATGTTTTACGCAATGTTCACCACCCCGAAGTCCGCAGCCCGACACCACTTTCGCTGTGCTCGCAGTTCAACCCACGCAGTTACAGTCCGCAGGACCCACCGCCCCCCGACCGCCCGCACACGCAGTCCCCAAGCCGAACCCCGCTGTCCCCCCCCCTCGCCGCCACTCACCCCGCCCACCGCCCGCACGCCCCCCCGCCCCCCCCGCGACGACGCCCACCCCGCTGCACGCCACACCACACCCCACCCGCCTCGCAAGACCACCCGCGACCCATCCGCCAGCCCGCCCGCACCACCCCCCACACGCAGCACCGCAGCTGCCGCAGCCCCACCCCCCCCCCCCCCCCCGGCAGCTTCGCTGAGTTACCCGCGCAGTTTACCCCCCCCCGCACCCCACCACCCCCCCCATCGCAAGTGCCCGCGACGCCTACCACACACCCGCCAGTTCCCACCCGCACCCCAAGCACCACCCGCACCCCCGCACTGCACACCAGCATCCCAACCACAACGCCCCACCCCCCACTCGCCCCCCCCAGCCGGCTGCAAACGGCTGCGCAACGACACCGCCACGCAACCGCAGCCCCCCCCCCCCCACGCAGCCGCACACCGCCCACGCAGTTAGACCCCCCCCCGCAGTTCGCCCACCCCCCACACCTCGCGCACACCCCCCCCAACCCCCCGATGGCCACCCCCCCCCCACAGCAGTCCCGCCCCGCTGTGCCCCCAGCCAACCACACTCCGCCGCGCCCGAAAGCAGTTCCCGACTCACCCGCATGTCCACGCACACTAGACCCCCCCCCCGCTGTTCCCAACCACGCTGCCCGGCAGTGCAGCCCGCCCAGGCGCCCAGACACCACCCCCCGACAGCAACCGGCAGGAACCCCCCGCCCCTCACGCCCACGCAGTAGCTGACCTCCACGCCCCAGCGACTGTTTGCAACCCCCCGCAGTTGGACCACCCCCCCCGCCCCGAGCCACCCGCCCCCGCCTGTCCCCGCACCACGCGCCCACTAGCCCCCCCCCCCCCCCACCCAGCCTCGCTCCTCCCCACCCTCCAGACTTCCCCCGCAAGACGCACAGCAGTGTCCCGCGCCATCACAAGCCCGAACTCCACAACGCCACACCGCGCCGCCGCAATGTCCGCCAGCAGTTAATCAGCTCCAACCACGACCCCCCGCAGTAACCCCCACGCCAAGCTGACCCCCAGCATCACCGCACAACACCCAGCGACACACCCCGCCGCCACCACAAGAAAGGCACACGAAAGCGACCGCGTGTTCAATCGAAACACAATATCCCACGCAACTCCCCACATCTGACCAAGCCAACTCTCCACTGAGCAGTTATGCCGCACTGTACCCGCTGCCCCTCCTCCAGCCCTCCCCGCAATTGCCCCCCCGACCCACCCCCCACGCCCCCCCACACACCCCGCATGAAAACCCGACTGTCACACACTGGGAAACGCGACCTCCGAACCCCCCCAACCAACCCCGCTCCTCACTCCCCAACCACCCCCCCGCAAGGCCCCGCCAACCACCTCACCCCCCGAAGCGCCCGCCCGCCGCAGTCCCACGCGCCCCCCTCCCTCCGCGCAGTTCCCCCCCCCACCCCCACCCCGCCGACCGCGCCAGACAACCCCCCCCCGCGCCCCTCCCCCGCAGTCACGCCCGCACGACAGTTTCCGCCTCGCACGACCGCGTTGCCCGCCCCCACCCGGCCTCCGCCCTCCCCACCCAATACCTAACCCCACGCCGCCCAGCCCACCCCCCCCAACCGCAGTTGCCCGCAGTTGCACCCGACAATACCAGCAGAGTTCCCCCAGCCCCGCAGTTCACACACCATCGACCCCCCGCAGAGACGCAGTTCCGCGCAGCTACCCGCAACCGCACAGCGCCGTCACGCAGCCCGGCCCCGCCCAATCCCCACCCGCAACAGCGCCACCCGCGCATGCAGCCTCACGGACTACGCCCGGCCACGTTCGCATGCGCGACCACGTCACGCAACAGCACAACACCCAGCACCCTCCCCTCGCGCCCGACCCGCAGATCCGCAGGCATCCCTCCGCCGCCAACCCCCCGCAGACCAGCTCGCCCGCAGTCCTCGCCCCCCCCCGCGACCACCCCCTCCCGCAGCCGACAGCGCCCTCACCCCACATCCAACCCCCAGCAGGAAGTTTCCCACACCCCGCGCTCGCAGTTGCCCAACCCACGCAGTTCGCGCTGTTAGCCCCACCCCCCCCGCAGTTAGGATCCCCCACCTCCCCCACCCCAGCCCACGCACGACGCCCCCGCGCTGTTAGGCCCGCTGCCCCACTCCTCCCAACGCAGCCGCAGTTCCCCCGGCAGTCCGCAGAGCCCCCGCAGTTCGCCACCCCCCCCCCGCGCCACCCCAGCCCCCACTCCGCCACAACGCCGCCGCCGCTACGCCCCCCCACCAGCACCCCCCCTCCCCCTCCGCGCCGAACGCCCGCCGCACCCACGCAGCAGCAAAGTCCCCGCCCAACCGCCCCCCCCCGCTACGCTCCTCCGCACCTCACCGCCCGCAGACGCCCGCGCCCCCCCCGAACCCCCGCCCCCAGCAGCCCGCTTGAGCGCAGTCGCCCCCACCCCGCCCACGATCCGCAGCCCCCCGTCGCAGTTTACGCCACGCCGGCTCCCGCCCGCAGACCCCCCCCGACAGACACACGAAGTTAGCAGCCCCTCCCGTCCAGCACCCGCAGCACCCCAGCACCTCCAGCTGCCTCCACGCCCGCCTACACCACGCCGCACCCCGAATTTAGTCTAGCGCATGTCGCAGTTTCACCTCGCCCGCCCCCCCCGCCGCAGTTCCCCCCCGCCCCGCTTCGCAGTTAGACCCTCGCAGACCCAAGCAACCCCTCCCCCCCGCCCTCAAGAGACCCCCCCCGTCAGCTCCCCCCCGGCGCCCTCACACGGCACCAGCACGCCACCCCCACGCACAGCGCTGACCACACACCCCGCCTCGCCCAACCGCCCCTCCCCGCCGCAGTCGCCCGCAGCCAACCCAACACCCGCTGTTTAAGCCCACCCCGATGACCACCACACCCGCCCACGAAGACCAGCCCCCCAACCACGCCGCCCCGAGAAAACCCCCGCATGTTAAGTTAACCGACCCCCGCAGTTACTCCACACCCGCAGCGCAGTTCCCCGCCCCCCCCGCCATAGAAACCCCGCAGTCTCCCACACGCCCAACGACAACGCCGCAGCTCGACCACCCCCCCCTCCCCCTACGCAGCCACACGCAGTCCCCGTCCCCCCACAGGACCGAAGTCCGACCCCACACCCCCCCGCAGCCCCCCGCCCCCACCCCCACGCCCCAACTGCCCAACCCAGCTAGGCAGCCGCGCCCCATCCACCCGCTGTTCACGGCTCGGCCACCCCCGCACGCAGTTTCAACTCCCCCGCAGCCCCACGCCCATACCCGTCCCGCCGCTGTTACACGACCCCACCGCAAGCTGTAGACCACCTGCACCCCCCCAGCCAGAGCACTCGCCCGCACCCACGCCCCCCCTCAACCCCCGTCCCCGCAGTGCCCACCCCCCGAACGCCCCCGCGCAGCTCCCGTCACCCCCACGCCACCCCCGCAGCCCGCAGTTGCGCTCCCCACACACCCGCAGTTCCGCCTCGCCGACCCCCTCACCCAACCGCAGCATACCCCCGCCCCGCACGCCTGCGCAGACCCCGCAGCCCCCACCGCTCACCGATCCCACCGCCCCCCTGCCCGCGCGCTCAGCGCACCCACTACACGCACCAACACACGCGGCGCCCCACCCGCAGCCCACCCCGCACCCACCCCCCCACCCAGCAACCTGCGCCCCCGCACCCCAACGCCAAGCCACCCGAGCACCCCCCCCCGACACCCGCATCCCCGCAGCCCCGCCCCCCCCGCCCAACCCGCACCCGCAGCCTTCCCGCACGCCGACAGTTGCACCAACCCGAAAGTTCTCCCCCACCCCACCCAGCAGCCCCGCAGTCACGCAGCCCCACCCCCGCCTCCCCCGCCAACGGCCCCCTCGCGCAGATCAAGGCGCCCCGCCCCCCCACGGCCCCCCCGCCGCAGCCTCCCGCAGTTACCGCGACCCGCCGCGCCTCCGCACCCGCAGGCCCGCAGTTACCTCGGACGCTCGCTGCCGCCTCACCCTCGCACGCACCCGCACCCCCCCCCCGCCCCCCTCTACACCGCAGTCTCGCCGCTGTCGCTCCAGGCCCCCCCCGCCCCGCCCCAACACACATGCCCGCAGGACCACACCACGCCAGCCCCCAGCCCCCATGCGCCCCCGCACCCACACCCCCGGACAGGCCATCACACATCCGCACCACCCCGCAACTCCACAAACGCCCCCGAGACGCAGTTTGTCCCCGCCCCCCCACCCGCAGTCCCGCCCGCCCACACGCAGCCCGCCCCCCAACCATCACGCTCCCGCCGCCCCACAAGACCCCCCGCAGTCCCGGACGCGACCCCCATCCGCAGTCCTTTGCACGCAGAGCCCCCCGCTGTCCCCCCCCCCCCAACCCCAGCCCGCCCCGACAGTCGCCCCCCGCGCTGCTCCCCCACCCCCCAAACCGTCTCAGCCCCCCCGCAGTTACGCCGCCGCCCACACGCGCAGTAGATACCACCGAGCACCGAAGCCCCGTGCGCCCCGCAGACCGCATGACGCAGTTTCGCGACACGCAACCGGCTACGCCCCACAGCCTCGTCCCCGCGCACCGCAAATAGTGCCCCCTACCGCAGTTGTCCACCGCGCCCCGCAAAGGCCCACCCCCCCCCCCGCCCAACACCGCAGTTCAGGTGGACCCCCACCCCCCCCGCAGTTCCAGTCCCCCGTCCCACCGCAGACCCCACGCTCCGCTGTTCACCCACAAGCTGCCATGTCAGCCCCCCCGCCGCAGTTCCACCGCCCCCACCCCCCCCACCCCCCGCCCGCCCCCCCGCCCCCGCAGTTACCCGCAGTTCCACGCCAGTTTGGTCCCTCGCAGTTCAGCCCCCCGCCCCCGCAGTCGCAGGCACACCCTACACGCAGAAGCCCGCCCTAGACACAGCACCACCCCCAACGCAGACGCAGCCCATCGCCCCCGCACGTCCGACCACGCCAAGCACCGCAGCCGCCCACCCAACCCCCGCAACGCACCCCACTCGCAGCCCCCCCGCAGTACCCCCCGCAGGTAGCCCCCCCCCCCGCCCGCCAACCCCAACCCACACCCGCACCGCAGTTCGGCTCGACCGCCCGCACCGCAGCTCGCAGTCCGCAGTGCCCACCATCACCACCCCCCCGACCCCCACCACCATCACCGCAGCCACGCAGCGCGCTCTTAAGCCCGGCGCACGCCCAGCCCATCCCCTCCCCCCCCGCTCTCACCAACCCCCGCAGCACCTCCTCACCCCACCCCCTCCACCCCCGGCCTCAATGCACCCCCCGCAACCCACACGCCCGCAGACCCCCCCGCCCACACCGACCCCCTCACCCGCACCGGCCCTCCCTCTACCGCAGCCACCGCAACCCCCGCGAGTTAGATCACTCCAGCCCAGCAGAACTCCCCAGCGTCACGCTTCCCACACCCCTCATCGCTGTTGCGCCGCAGTTAGCCGCCCGCAGTCAGACCTCCCCCCACCGCAGTCCAGCGCCTCAGTCCCCTACCCCCGCAGCACCGCTCCACGCGCCCGTCCAAAAAGAACCCAGCCAATCAGCTCAGGCTCCCGCAGCTCCCCCCCCCCCCCCCCCCCCCCCCCCCCCCCCCCCCCCCCCCCGCACCCCCCCCCCCCCCCCCCCCCCCCCCCCCCCCCCCCCCCCCCCCCCCCCCCCCCCCCCCCCCCCCCCCCCCCCCCCCCCCCCCGCCCCCCCCCCCCCCCCCCCCCCCCCCCCCCCCTCCCCCCCCCCCCCCCCCCCCCCCCCCCGCCCCCCCCCCCCCCCCCCCGCCCCCCCCCACCCCCCCCCCCCCCACCCCCCCCCCCCCCCCCCCCCCCCCCCCCCCCCCCCCCCCCCCCCCCCCCCCCCCCCCCCCCCCCACCCGCGCCCCGGCCCCCGCCGCCCCACCCCACAAGTCAGCATACCTCACCCCGAGCCCGCCCGCCCCAGCAGTTCGCAGGCCGGCGCCCGCGCCCCCCGAGCATACGAGTCGCCCCCCTCCGCCGCCGCAGCAGCCACCGCCCGCAGCCCCGCCACCCGCACGAGAAGTGTTCTGTCGCCGCGCAGTTGCCCCGCCACGGCTCGCGCAGGTTCAGTCGCCCCTCGCCGCCAGCCCGCCGAGCAGTTGCCGCACCCGCAGCACAGCCATCCCCACCGCCCGGCGCAGGAGAACGCCCCACCGCCCCAGCAGCCCCCCGCAGGCCGCCCCACCACGCCGGCAGTTCCCCCCTCCAACGCTGTCCTAAAACCCCCAATCCGCCCCCCCCCCCGCCACGCGCAAACCCGCTGAATCCCGGGGCATCCCGCAGTTCGCCCCACGACATGCCACCGCACCCCCGCAGCTGTTTCGCCGCCCCTCCTCTAGACCACACCGCAGTTCATCCCACCCCGCACAAGCCGCGACAGTAGAGCAGTTCGCCCCCGGCAGTTCCCGCGCCTCGCCCCCACCCCGATCAGGTTACCCACCGCAACCAGCAGTTCCCGCCACTCATCGCCCGCACCACCCGCACCGCGACCGCCGCCCCCTCCCCACCAAGCCAGCCCCCGCCCGCCGCCATCGCAGCCGAAGCAGTTAGCCCCCGCAGCCCCCCCCACGCAGCCGCAGTCGCGCAGTTAGACCGCCCCCCCGCAGCTACTCCGCCAGCCCACTCAAATACCCCCCCCGAAGTCCCTTCTCCCAGCACGCAAGTTAGTGCCACGCCGCACCCGGCAGTTGCGCAGTTCCCCAACCCGCCCGCACCCGCAGTTCTCCCTGCCCGCAGGCGCCCCCGCCACCGCAGCCCGCAGCCCCCCCGCCACACCCCCCACCCCAGCAGTTCCGCAGCCCCCCCCCGCACCCGTCCCCCCGCCTCCCCCCCTCTACCCGCAGCCAGTTATCCCCCCGCGCCCATCCCGCAGCACACGCACCCCCGCCGAACCCACCATCCGCCCAGGCAGTTCCGCCCAGGCCCGCAGCCCCCGCAGCCGCAGACCGCCCCCCGCCGGCCCCCGCCAGGTTCCCCCACAGCAGCCCGGCTGCCCGCCGAACGCCTCGACAGTCCGCACCAGTTGCAGCGCCCGCTGTTACCCGCCGGAAACGACCCGCACCCACCCAAGCACGCAGTTCCCCACCGCCCCCCCCCGACGCAACCGCCCCCAACACCCCATCCGCAGTTCGGCACCGCCGCCGCTCCCCCCGCAGTACCGCTGTCCCCCCCCCACGACTCAGCCCCCCCCCTCCCGCGCAGCTCCGCGCCCCGCCGCCACCCCCACCCCCCCACCGCCGCCCCCCACCACCCCAACCCCAACACCCGCAGTCCGAGCCGCAGTCACCCCCGTCCCGCAGTCCCCCTGCAGTTCCCCCACGCAGCCCCACCCCGCACACGCACACCCCCCGCAGCACGCATGTTCGGCCCCCCACCGCCGGCCTGCAGGCAACCGCGCGCCGCAGCCCCCCACCGCGCAGTTCCGCCCACCACCCAACGCGCCCGTAGCAGCCATCCTCCGACACCCAGCCCGCAGTTCGACCGCAGCGCTCGTCGCACACCCCCGCCCGCAAGGCCCCCCCCAGCAGCGGCCGACGCCGCAGTTCCAGCTCACATCCGCCCGCCCAACACACGCAAGCCCGCCTCCCCAACCAGCGCAGCAGACTGGGTCCACAGCTGTTACCGCCCCCCGCAGTCCCCCCCCCCGCAGTCCGACAGAGACCCGCCGAGACCCCGCTCCCACCCACCACGAAATCCCTCCCAAGAATCCCACGCACCACCCCGCGTCGCACCCCCCGCAGGCCCCCGAACCCCGCTGTAGTCTCCGCAGACGCCAAGCGCCCAACGCCACCCCCCACCCGCAGCCCCCCACGCAGCCCCCCCGACCTCCCCGCAGTACCCCGCCGGCTACCACCCGCAGCCCAACCACCCCGCAGGCGCGCAACCCCCGCCGACCCGCAGCCAACCGTCCCCGACCCCCGCCCCCGCCGGAAGTTCACCGCGACAGCCCGCGCAGCCACCCCCACGCAGTTCCCCCGCACCCCTCCCGCTGCCACCCGCCCCACCCCGACCCCCCCCACCCCACACAGCACACCCCAACCGAAACAAATACCCCCAGACGACTGCACACACACGCAGTCCCGCGCAGTCCCCAGTAGCAGGCCCACCCCCCCCGCCAGGCCCCCCCCCCCACACGCACACGCAGTCCCCGCCGCCCGCAAGCCCGCCCGCCCCCCACCCCGCGCCAGCACGCACCCCCCCGACAGCTCGCCCACACTCCCGCCCACCCCCCCCGCAGTTCACCTGCACCACACCCCCGACACGTTTCCAACAGCAGCCCCGCTAAGCCCCCTGCACACCTCCCCCCACCCCCCCACCCCCGCCCGCCCGCTCCCAGCACGCAGCCGCAGCAGTTCCCCCGCAGGCGACCCCCCGCCCACCCGCCGCCCCGCATCCCCCCCCCCCCCACCCCGCAGTGCCACCCCCGCGCGACCACACCCCCCGCAGTTCATCCCCCCGCCCGCCCCCCGCAGTACGCAGCCGCGAGTCCGACCCCCGCAGCCCCGCGGACCTGCCCGCGCCCCACCCAGTCAAACCCCCGCCACGCCACCGCAGTACTCAAGCGCAGTCGCCACCGCGCCCGACAGTTCGCACAGCCCCGACCGCAGTACGCCGCAGCCCCAACCGCCATCCCCCCCAGAACGCGCCCCCCCAGCGCCCCGCACCCCCGACACAGTCTCCCCGACAGTTTCCCGCACCCCCGCGCCGCAGTTAGTTCCAGATCGCTTTACTCAGCTTTTTAACCGAGCGCAGAGTTAATATCCAGAAACGAGGTCCAAAGCAGTGGAGCTAACAGTTCAATGGCACTCAAGTTCTTGCGCTCATTTAGGGAGGAGTTGATGTTGTAACGCCTACCGCAAATTCCAGTCATGTGTGTCAAGCCACACACGCAGCCTGCAAATGATTGGATGAGCGTCATCGATGGATCAATATGAATGTCATTACGTCTGTACCCTATCTGACACTATTTTGACTGGAGTGTCCGGAGCGTGTCCGCTCCTTGTTCTGCTTTTGTTAGTGGGTTGGGTCATAGTGATTCAAGATCCTGCTTGCGCAGGGGCCTAGTGTGCGTAATGAGAAATAACACTCGTCAACCGACTCAATGGAACACACGAGTCACTCGCCAGCCGTCCCAAGGCACCTTTCTGACTCAAGGAGCACTCAGTGGCGGTCGATCGCCGACGGCCACGAACGGATTGTTCGCGGAAGGCCTGGCTACGCTTTGCCGACGAAGAATACGGGATTTATTCGTGGAATGAGGACCGTGTACTGGAGTGCGGGTCTGCAGCAAAGAAATTGTCCTGTCGGCCTTTTTCTGGATCAGCTAGTATTATTGGTGTCCGATCAGCACGCCCCGACATCCCACTGATGGTGCACTCTGGTCCATACAACCATCCTGAATAACAAAAGCATGGATTCAGCGAACGCGGAGACACACCCCGCCTTGGGATCCCATGTTCAAGCCCATGCTACTATTCCGCACCCATCTTCACCTCCCGTTTCCACCCCTTACTGACAGGTGGATCAAATGCTTTCACCCTTCAGACTTCTAGTAGTGTACTTAAAAACACTTTTTCAGTATTACACAACGTTTGAATTTACTGTGATTTTAACCTTTGAAACGTCCAGTTGTATTCCTGACGACACTTCCATATTGACAAACTGCTTCCGTGCATTCCGTTCGACAGCGTATCTCGCTCTTGTTGATTCCCTTCCTAGGTTTGCATCCTGTACGATACACGTTGGGTTCAGTTGCCTTCAAAATCTATGCTGTGCCGTATTTGACATGTCTCTTACGTCTCATTGATTACCGACTAGTATCCCAGGCACCACCCAACAAGTTACATCCGCCAAGTTGCAGTATTGTTAGGCGGACATTTGTGGCTTTTCACAGGGAGAAGAATTATTACGCGAAAACCCACCAGGTCCTGGAACACTACGCTTGATCAGTATGAACGGTAATGTATAACTGGCAATGTATCCTACAGACTGATTGTTCACTCGGCTAGTTGCAGTCGTATGACGCCCAAATGTCTCCATTGGGAAACCGAGTGGCTTAGTCAGGGTCCGCCATTAGTCGTAAAAACCGGTCAGAAAACGAAGTCTTGAAAAGTCGGGTGAATAGTTGTGCCGATATGTGTTCCTTCAACTTGGGCGCAGTCAAAGGAAGTATGTTTGGGCTGAGAAACGATTCAGGTGTTACTTTCGAGTGGTGGCTAGAGACTAAGATGGACAAAAATACGACGACACCATTAACGTCAGGCAAAAAACGAATAATTACACGAGTTAGATAGAGAAAACCAAACGAGCTCAGCAAGTAGGGAACGACGAGAAAGATTTTACATTTGCGCGTGTGAATCTGGGTTATCAATTTGTAGGATGAGTAAATACTAATTCGCGTAAACGAGCGCCGATATCAGCAGGAAATTTAAGTCGGACGCAGTAAACTAAATTCGAGGGACTACGAAAGACATTGACGGATGAAACGGAACAGCTGTAACTGTTAGCACGCAACTTACAAAACACTCGAGTGTAAAGCCGGGTGTAGTTTAACATTGCCACAATGTAAGGGAGGTTACAACGAGAAAGAATAATCTACAACTGATCAACAATGAAACCGTTATAAGAGGTTGCCCTTATCTTTTGGGTAGTACAACCTGTATCTTACCTTGTGCCAAGTCCTAGAAAATTGTCGCATCTGCTTTGGAGGGTCGCTTTCGCAATGACACAAGTAGTACCCACAATGGCTGACTTTTCTTCCGTCCTCACGATGACCTGATTTTCATTTCCATCTTTCAGCTGGGCCAACTATTGTTTGCTCTTCCCACCATGATCGATGACTTATTATCTTCCTCCTTCCACTTATTGCTTCTTCGTGTTGGCCAGCCTTTAGTCTATGCGTGTCAGAAACCTTGCCAGTTCAGATCTGTCTCTAGCCAACTGGCTGGTCAGGAACAGTGACGTATCCGCTACAGTGAGCCACTATCGCTTTAGCCCTACTCAACAGGCATTGTCTTACCTCCATATCACCAAGGCTTTTGTTTCGTTTATATTTCTCTTACACATAGTTGCTCACATTTCTGGAAACAGTTATGCGCTGCAAGTTAAAACCCTGATTATGTCTGAGCTGCATTTTGCGTACTTTATATCGCAGTGCTTTGTCCATCTACTTCGGAGGGTATCTTTCGTAGTGACACAACTTTAATCCACAATGGCTGACCTTACTTCTCTCCTCGCACGACTGCCTGCTTTTCGTCCGTATCTTCCAGCTATACTAACTTTTATTTGCTCTTCCCAACATCCTCAGCAACCTCCTCTACACAGACCCGTTAACGCTGCTTGTCACACGTCGCGTCATGCATGCAACCATCACTTGGTTGTTGTCCCTTATCCCTTGTAGCAAACTTACAGTTTTACTAATGCAGGCATGACTCCGGAGATTCAAAATGTACGCCCAAAAACAAAAGCTACATGGGTCACAGACCTTCCCAGATCAGCCGATTTCTCTACATTTGCCTCGTAAACAACTAAAGCTGACTGCGCCTCTAACATGCCACCTCAGGCCGCAGCTGTGCACGAGGATGATGCCTATTCAGACACATAGTCCGGCTTTCAGGCTGACACGGATAGCTCTGGGGCTGTGCCAACGATCACTAATGCTACAGCCGTTCGTAGTAAGTTATCTGGAAACTGGATTAGACAAACTTCTTACACCACACCTAACATTGACAAAAGATCTGTACCAAAGGGAAATACACATATCGGCTCCCTTAATAGTGCCATCTAGCTCGCACGTAGTGCTCAGCACAGAAACATGGCCATCGATGACCATGTTTCTGTGATGCGTGTTCTGATATCAGCGAACGCATGTGATGTGCCTTTGCTTATCCCGAATAAACCACCTTCGGTCACCGAGGAGAGAACCAGAGCGGTGGTGGATACTTGACGTACATTCTCAGTGACTTCAACGCATCTCGGTTTGAAGTAATCCCTCTTGGCAATCATCAAGAACCAACAGGGATTCGGACCATTGGTGAATAGTCTGATCTGTTGCTTGGATGCGTATGCAACCCCCGCACAGCACAAAGGTAAGTATTGATGCATAAGCCCAACTGTTTAGTGCAGCTTCGGATTAGCCTTCACATCATAAGATAATTGCTGGTGCCTTCAACACGTCACACGTTTCGTGGCAAGTCCAGACTTCCCGCCCTTTCATTCACTCTTCCTTCTTCAGTCGGAGCGGGGACAAGGGCATTCAGTTTGCCATGCGCTGCAAGTCATGTGCACTCTTCTTCCAGCTACGTCTTTTACAAAGTAATTATGATGAAAATATCGAACCATCCATGATGTCTCACTTCTGCTTTTTAGCCTAACACAAACCCTTGCGACCAAAGTACGCCCTGAAAAATGAAACAGTTATAGACCTCGGCGGAATGCATAAAGCGCTAGTGCTCAGTCATGATTTTAGCTTGTTACAAGGTCTGTCCATGAGTCTAGTCTATGCCAAACTTACTTTCTTATAATCGCGCTAAAAGTTAGTTTATAGACAGTTTATAGACAGCTTACATACTATAACTCGGTCTTAGTAATTTTGGTGGCACCACCGTCGATTCAACTAATATCGTGATGCGGTGGAATGGGAATACATAAATTATCAAACGTTAAGTTGTTCGCATTCTATCTTGACACAAATATGCAAAATAAACTTCACTCAGTCTAAACGTTTACCAGTCACTTGCAGTCTACTAATTTAAAAGTTTTTCCGTTTATGCAAATGGTCTCTGTGTCTGGCAATTTGTTTACGTTAAATATATAATTTTAGAATTGGCTCCCTATACATATAGCTAATGGTAAACGAAAGCCGGAGAATAAATCATATTACTTACTTGCACCACCCTGACTAAGCAGTTACGATGCTTTTCAACAATTCCTTAGTTCTGTGCATCCTCAGTTTATATACAGTTTTAAGTACAGAATTCTGTAAGTCCGTTTTATAATGTGTACACGCAGCTTTATTTTTAGCTTTGGAGATATTTTGTGGCGTTTTTCTCAGATCATTGAAATCCGCATTTGTACACGCTAATAAGTGTTGTACCGCTTGATTTGTTCATTCGAGTTGCATCTATTGTCACCGCTATGCATCGCCTTTGTCCTCTGTCTTGTGCCGTGCTATAGCTAAGACGATCGCTTGCCTTCCCACAGTAGGAGGCTTGTAAATACTGACGTGTGCTCGCCTTTTGCCCTGATCGCTTAACGCGTGCGCCTTGCCCCACTCTCTGAATACGCAGTCGTCTAACCCAACCCGTGGAAAACAGAATGCGAACTCGGCCGATATATGTCTATTGTGTACGAGGGGTTGCTATTTATGGGTCACACTCATCAATACTTTCGCGCCACCTGGCTGATTGACCTTTGACTATCTGTCATCTTTGCAAAGTACAACATTACTCGCTGAGGGATAGAGGCGTGTGGTTTGTCAGCTTCCCATAGCAACGCACTTGGAGGCTGATGCCGGATTGCCATACCGGAAGCGGATGTCATCCGACATGGCTATAGCAACAAGTCCGTCAGCCGATCATATGACCTGGATAATCGTGACCAGCTAAAGTTCCCATCGTAGTCGGCCGTTTCGCCACCGTGACAATAAGTAATGTAAAAATAAGACCTGCTCATAGGGAAATAATTTCACCTTTCCATGTAAAGATCTTGACGCAGTGTTGACAATAGGTAACTTATTTTACTCCATCTATGAACCAGTG